CTGGGGCTTTGGGGGAAAAAATAAATAAATAAATAAATAAAATTATTAACAGGGAAATTCTTACTACAGCCAAACACTCAGTTGAATTAAAGCAAACATATACTTTACTTTGCAGATATTATCATATTAGTTTCAAATGACATATTATGTTTACTATCCTAACCCTTTTGCTAACTTATCTTAGCAACAGTGTTTGAAGTCCAAGAAAAATCCAGCAAGAAAGAATACAGTTGGCACTCCCTATCTGTGTGTTCCGCATACTCGGACTCAACCAATAGCCAATCGAAAGGCCTAGGATTGTTGCATCTGTTTGGAACATGCACAGACTTTTTCTTTTGTCATTAGTCCCTAAACAATACGGTACAACAACTACTTACCTGGCATGTACATTGTATTAGGTATTGTTCTAGAGATGATTAAAAGTATACGGGAGGATGCGCATAGATCATATGCAAATACTACACCATTTTATATAAGGGACTTGAGCATCTGTGGATTTTGGTATCTGCAGGAGTCCTGGAACCAATCCCCCGTGGATACAGAGGGACAACCGTATATCAAAATATGGATAAAGCACAATATTTCAACAGTTAGTAGAGAAATTTAGAAAGTTTTCTATTTATTCTCTAATACTAAATTTAAAAAGCAGAGTACAAAATTGTTTTCCAGAAATGTTCACAACCAAGGTAAAAACAAAATGTCCATGCCCAAGGACTACAAAGAAATACAGAAGAAAAAAAAGGAACAGTTTGATTAGCTGGGGTGGGCAGATCATGGAAACAATTTTTTCCCCTTTTGACACTGATGTAAGTTACAATGGTGTGTGTGCAGTAAGTAAAAGAATTCCTCAAATCATCAAGAAAAAGAGAAATCCTAATTTAAGTTCAATTGTTAACTAATCTCCGTAAAGTTACTAAGTTTCATAGAAACAACCCAAATCGAAATTTTAAAAAAAAGAGGCCATACTCAAAATGTACTTGATTTGGCTCATCACTCAACTGTGGGATCCTTGAGAATCAGGCCCTAACATACATAGCACCTGGCAGATAAACGTTGTTGAATAAAACTGAAGTTATTCGTGTGTATTTTTAAGACCTTTTTAAAAGAACCAGGGAGGGAACGCCCTGTGATTCTGATACATCACCTGGAATATTGTTAGAAATGCAGACTCTCAGGCCCCACCCAGAAGTACTAAACTAGAACCTGCATTTTTAACAAGATCCCCAGGTGATTCATACAGACCTTACAGATGCCAGAATAAATGAAGACAACGTGTCAGAGCACTGTAATACAGCTCACACCCCTACCACCAAGAGGAAATTCTGCAGTTGAGCACTACTATACCACTGAGGTCCTGTCTCCCCCTTTAACGGATACGGCACACACAGGAAGTGCATCGGTTAGGTAAAGTCAATTTCCTGTTTAGAAAGAATTCAAAAGCTCCTTCAGCTGTTGCAGAGCCTGACTACGTTTTGTTTTTGTTTCAGAACCTCAGAAAAAAAAGGAAGTAAATGAAGACAAGGCAGCGAGAGGGCCAGGGAAGGGAGCATCCATTTCCAAATCTACCTCCTGTACTTTCATTATAAATCTGGTCCCTTTTGTTCAGAGAATCCCAACCACTGCTGTTTCAACTTGAAACTACCTTGGCATCATTTTCTTCTCCCTGAAATAGTTCAACTTAAAGACTCAGTCACCTTTAATTCAATCATGTGACTAATCAAGTTCATTTGCTTGGCTTTATGAACTAATTTAAAAATGCAGTCTTTACTGCTGAGTGAATTTCTTCATATCTGATGTGGTACCATGGTCCAATATGTTTACTGTTAGCTCACTAAATCTTCACAACTCTGAGAGGTGGGTCTGTATTGTTTATGTTGAAGAAAGTAAAGCTCAAAGAAGTCAAATAACTTCCCCAAGGCTTCACGGTGCCAGACACAGTCTGACTCCAAGGACCACAGTCTTTCCACTGCACCAAGCTGTTTAGTACTTACAGATCCCATTTTAAAGAGTTCCCAGGTAAACCTGTAATTATGTATTGACTGAAGACACTTCCTGCTGTTAACGTGTGTTTCTCATCCTTGCATATAGAATCTTGCCAGAGCCAGCCCTGATGGCCTAGCGGTTACAGTTCGGCGCACTCCGCTTCGGTGACCCGGGTTGGGTTCCCAGGTGCAGAACTCGTCTGTCAGTACCCATGCTGGGGCGGTGGCTCACATAGAAGAACTAGAAGGACTTACAACTAGAAAATACAACTGTGGGGACTGGCCTGGTGGCACAAGCTCGGTTAAGTGCGTGTGCTCCCGCTGCGGTGGCCCAGGGTTTGCCGGTTCGGATCCTGGGCGCGCACCGATGCACCACTTGTCAGGCCATGCTGTGGCAGGCGTCCCATAAAAAGTGGAGGAAGATGGGCACGGATGTTAGCCCAGGGCCAGTCTTCCTCAGCAAAAAAAGGAGGATTGGCAGATGTTAGCTCAGGGCCGATCTTCCTCACAAAAAAAGAAAATACAACTGTGTACTGGGGCTTTGGAGAGGAGAAAAATAAAGAGAGAGAGGAAGATTGGCAACAGATGTTAGCTCAGAGCGAATCTTTCAAAAAAAGAAAGAAAAAGAATCCAGTGGTAGACAACCATGCAGTCCCAATGCTACCTAGTCATTTTAAGGCAAAAAAACTGTAATGGTTTGTAACAAAGTAGATTTAACAAGAATACAAATGATACACAACTCAAAGTCTCAAAAATGAAACTGTAATATACATTGTTTATACTGATTGATAATATTCCAAACCAATTTTCCAGTAAAACCTCTACTGCAACAGACCATTAAAACTTATTTACAGGGGCTGGCCCAGTGGCGCAAGCGGTTAAGTGCTCGCACTCCACTGCGGCGGCCTGGGGTTCGCCGGTTTGGATCCCCGGCACGCACCGATACACTGCTTGTTAAGCCATGCTGTGGCGCTGTCCCACATAAAGTGGGAAGACGATGGGCACGAATGTTAGCCCAGGGCCAGTCTTCCTCAGCAAAAAAGAGGATTGGCATCGGATGTTAGCTCAGGGCTGGTCTTCCTCACCAAAAAAAAAACCAAAAATCTTTATTTACAAAGTTTCCACTGCAGTTGAATCAAATCCCAAAGCGACTGTATTTTTAAAGTTTTAACATGAG